ATTGTACGTCTCTCTCCCTGCCTCCAAGCCAAATCTGCTGCAAATATTTCTGCCTATAAAAGGTAGCTACCAGACATATCATCAAGACTCAGTTCAACTATATTTAACTTTAGATTATGGAGTACAAATCTTTGCCAAGAGACAGTTGGCCCAGTCCATGCACAGAAACACCATCTTAATCAACTACGGAGCCTGGAGTAGTTGAATTTTTGGCAAAGAATTGCCTCTTGAGTTGTCTAAGCTCAAGCAATTGATTTTGGGGCTCCTTTCCGCCCATTCATTCATTTAGATTTCACATCCTCATGAGGGACTCCATCCAGCAGGTGTTCAGGAAAGCTTAAAAAGCCAATTTTTCACCTCACAAGGAGGTTGAAAAATATATTGTTTAGACCTGGAGCTTTTCCTGACTGTCAGACATGCCCTAGGCGGCCAGAAGACAGTCACAGGTTATAATTGTCAGGAACTACTGACGGTAGGGGAGGGGATTTGCTTCTTCCTGTTGGTTTTAAGAGTCTGCAGCAGTAAAAATTATGTCTATGGACATTTTTACTTAATAGCTCCAGCTTTTGTGCTGCTTTCCCTGGGATGGTTTTATTTTTTTCCCCCAATAGTGGCATTTGCTAGTTTTTCACAAGATTCTCTATGAACCCTTGGAAAATCTTTCCCAAAGGGAAACAATGTCATTTCTTGTACATCTTTGGGGAAATCACCTGACAAGTCTTGGTAGTCCAGTTTTGGGGCTTTCTATGGTTTCCTTGAGGGGTCATTTCTCAGCATGTACCATCAGCAGTTTCAGAACGCAGGAGTAGCAGGGACAACTTTGAAGCCACAAATCCATTTGCTGCATGGAAGAGTGCTCTAAGGGGGCCTGCACTCAAATCTCTCTCTTTCCTTTGGAGACAAAGGAAATCCTGTTTGTGATCCAGGTAGAGTCTCAGGTAAGTGCCTCCCGTCAGGATGTTACCCCCTTGTGTTGGGGTATGGGTGGAGAATGGTTCATTGGAACCCAGAAGTAAAGGTGATCTATATTTTCTCCATGTATATGATCACTTAACCCGAAGGCTGGGCTGTTTTCTATTTCTGGGTGTGAGTGGGAGAGCATGAGCCATGGCCTACAGTAGAAGGTATCCTCATGAGGCTACCCTCCACCTCCATCTCCACAAAGACCCTGACTCACAGGGAAGATTGAGGCCACAGGTCATGAGCTCTGTCAGGGTCTTCCCCTAACATCTCCCATCCCATCCCCAACCATGCCCCATCTCACCTTCTTTGCTCTTTTCTCAGGGGATGCGGTAGTCTTTGTGCCGTTCAGAGTCAAACTTTTTTGATCTGGATCCTGACCCCTTCTACCTCCCCAGAGCCTTGATTCCTCAGTCATTCCCTCTCTCCTGTATCTTCAAATGTCTCGCATTCTTAAAGAAATAAAAATAAAAGAGCAAACAGGCACCCAATTTTACACAAGTATCCTCCATCTCTTTCTGCTTACAGTCAAGAGTCAAGTACAGCAACTGGACAGATTTTTTTTTTTTTTTAATATGCAACCAAGCAGGATAAACAAAGTTTTGCTCTCCTTTTTTTTTTTTTTGAAGACTTTATTTATTTGAGAGAGAGTTGAGAGAGAGAGAGAGTGAGCGACAGAGAATGAGCAGGAAGAGGGGCAGAAGGAGAGGGAGAAGCAGGCTCCCCACTGAGCAGGGTTCCCGATGCGGGGCTCCGATCCCAGGACCCTCAGATCATGGTCTGAGCCGAAGGCTGATGCTTAACTGACTGAGCCACCCAGGGGTCTCACTTGGCTCTCTTTTTAAAGAAGAAAATGTTTGTCCAACCAAGTTTCTATGCCTGGGGTGGTACCTATCATGGACTTTGGTGTTACTGTGGAGAAATTAATTAGCCTCCATAGCTGATGGAGGAGGCTGTGAAATATAACAACCACTCGGAGTCTACCGTCCCAACTGACAGACTCTTAACAATGAATAATACCATCTCTTTGAACGTTTACAACAGTTAACGTTTAACAGAACTTGATTAAAGTGGCCTCTTCGGTTACAAGAGTTTTAATGTCATTGTCTCACTTCATGTGTCTGGTTTTCCATATTTCTACTTTGGTCCTTCATAAACAGAGAGAAAAGAGAACTTTCCACTTATTCATAATAGTCCATTCCAACTGCTAAAGAGAGCCAGCCTTCTAATAATGACAGGATGAACCTAAGAGATTTGAGAAGACAATAAACAAGTGTGCGGACTGCTGAGGGAAGTATTTCCGATTCCTGGCAACTCAAATAGTGAATAGGCACCCACAGCAGGTCTCACCAGTAAACAGCTCAGGTAGGAATCTGGTGATGCCTTTTGAACAGCAATAAACTCTCTCTCTGCCCCAAACTTTTCTTCCCTTTTGGCTTTGCCAAAACGATAAAATCTCTGCTTTGATCAAGATTTGGGGTTCAGAGGGAAGGCTTTTATGAAATAAAAACTCTGTATTTACACTGTCAACTTCCACAAGACTTTTATGAGAAAGACTCAGCCTCACACAAAGGGGGTGAAAATACACTTGGAATCCAGAGGATGGTGTGCAACCTTCCTTTAGTATGAAACCTTTACATAGAAACTTTTCTGTTTTTATGGGTCACCACTCAGCATTTCATTGATCTCTGATGTCTTTCTTACCTTTTTCTTTCTGTCTCCTTTCTCCCTCTCTATTAACCTGGATCCTCCCCATTAGTTCTTGGTGTTCAAGGTCAAGGAGACCCAGTGGATCTTTGACTGGGAATTATAGACCTGTGCTGTACATTAGAGTAGTCGCTAGCCACATATGGCTACATGCAGAACACTTAAAATGTGACTAGTGTGACTGAGGAAATGAATTTTTAATCTAATTTTAGTTCATTTAAATTTAAAAATTGAAGCTATTAAACAACATACCTTTATCAGAGGTATGTACATATATGGGAAAAACATAGTATATATAGGGTTCAGTACTATTTGTGGCTTCAGACATCCACTGGGGGTTTTGGAACATATCCCTATGGATGGGGGGTCTACTGCACAGTCTTCTCTCTTGGTTAGGTAGGTCACTGTCCATACCACAAATTCAATCCAAAAGACTGGTCTCCCTCTCTAAGGTGAGGGGGGGAATGAAAGGATGGGGAATGAGCCTTATCCTGACGCCATCACTGGTTCTAACACTCCACATCATTGAGAGTATCAGATTCAGCCATCTTCAGGTGGATGGGCAATGAAGACAGCTGGCCAAGGCAGTTGGATGCCTGGGTTGGGACAGAAAGGAGAGCAAGGTGTAGTCAGGTAAGTGAATACTCCAGAGCATGGAACATTTACAAGAGGGCTAGTTGGGTACTGATTTAAGAGGGAGGCCCTTAGACATAAGTATTTGGGGTTCCTGGAGGGGTGAGTGTAAGCAAAGAGGAAACAGAACAGAAGATGGAAACATCCCTAAGAGAAGCTTTGGGATGGATGGCAGGCAAACATTCTTCTGGAGGCATCAGTTTAAAATACATGGCATTGTGATATCCCTTCTGATGTCAGGTAATATTCATTTTCCCGATTCTACTCCTGGTCTTCTGTGGAACTGGCTTAAAGTTCCTTCCATGGTTGCTGCAGCTGCCCCAGTGACCCTATTGGTCCTTAATACTGACCTCGATGCCCTTTTGAAGAGACAGCTGCGTAGGTAGGGAACAAACCATTTCCTCATAGTCTTCAAAATCCAAAAATGTGGAATTTCAGCAGTTTTTGATGTCATTTAAACTCTTTTATATAATTTAAGATACTTATGTTCAATTGTGCCATTTTTTAAATTTTTAAATTTTTATTGTTTTTCAGTTGTGCCATTTTATAAATGAGAGAGCGCGCGCACTTGAGAGATTACGTGCCTTGCCTAAGATTGAGCCACCAGTTAGGATCAGCTGAATCCACTAGAAACAGACCTGGTACTGTGTCTTTAGGTTCCTGAGTCCTAGTTGAGGTCTACCACGATCATATTATTTACACCAGTTTTAACTGATGGACCTGCACTAATTGTAACTTACTTGGAATTTCAGTTCTCTGCAGAGCCCAGCAGATTCTGGACTGCATAGAGGCTTCCTGCGTATGCTGATGGTCTGGTAAAGATTATTGTTTATTGAATCCAGTACATTCTGAATTTTAACTATGTTCTGGTCATAGACAAATCATGTTTGTAAGGTTTTTTAGGGGATAAAAATGGCAGCAAAAATTCTAACTGAATAAGCTTTGGGGTAAGAAAGTATTTTCAAAAAACATTATTTACCTCTCATTTTAGAGGTTTCCTGGCCTGACCATCAGCAATGTTTCATGAGAATAGGAAGACATTTGGTTAATACTATCTAAAAATTACATGAATTAAAACTAAATGCTCCTTAAAAATATTTCAGAATTAGCATGCAAATAAACAGCTTGCCTTGGTAATTATAAATCAAGAGAGAGCAACTTCAGGAGGCTGAAGTGACAAACCAAGCCAGTATATGAAAGAAATCATACCCATAGTTACTCAAAAATATGGAAAAGTGTTATAAATGGCACTGTTTCTATAGAGAATGCAACATACAGTATCTAGAAATTGTCTATATATTGTGAACTCTATATTGTATCATTTCATCTATTTTTTCCAATGAGAATGAATACACCAACTGTGTAGTTTGTATGCTTTTTTTTTTCCATTACCATAAGTAAATGAAATCAGTGAACTCTGTTAGGATGGGCTGTATGATATGTGAATTCATGTATGCTATCTTATAAGGAGTTATTTGTATATGAAATCTAATGGACATAAGATTGAAAATGTATAATTTATCAGCAAAGAAAAAAAAAATCTTTAAATCCTAGTGCCCTGCACTTCAAATTTCTGGCTGATATATAAGCCTTTTAAAGCCCATGCTATTATTAAACAATTCAAAATTTCTATGGCTCTGTATGTTTAGATAATATTAACTCCTCAACTGCCCCCCCTGTGGCATTGTGCATGCAATGCTTCATTTTTTCCGTCTGTATTTTTTCTCATCTAGCTTTCTCAAAAATGTTATTCCTATTTCTGTCACACGGTCGCCTTTCAGTCTGTCTTGCAAGAATGTAACATCAGCAGCCAAATGAACCTAGGAAAGGAAAAAGAAACAGGCTTGTGTCATTTAGGTTTTAAAAAAAGACTCTAAATTTTTCTGTTTTCAGCTCTATTTACCCCACAAGGGGCTGACTTTCCTTATGGGATGATAAAAAAGAGCTTGCTCTGTGGATGAAGGGCCCTTTACTGTGTGTCCTCCAGAGATGGTCTGGCTGTGTGTCAGCTCTGTGGTGTAAGTCTGCAGAGAGAAGGGTACGCCAGGCCAGGCCCAGCCCGGATGATCATGGGGCAAGCCCAGACATATGGGCCCACTCTTGCTCATAGTGCACAGCTGAACTATGGGTCCATCTCAAGAAGAGCACAAATTCCCAGCTCAAAGATAGCTTTGACCCAATGTGCCTTGTCAAGCAGAACTTCCAAGGATAAATGGATTCTTAAACGATTTCTTTCCCACTGACTTGCATTCAGTCATTCTATCATCAGCTAAATAACATAATCACTTGTCCTAACAACACTGAGCAATCACTTAGGGCTTTGAGAGCTTTGAAAAAGTATCAACTAAATAAATTATAAATATAAAATTAAAGACTGAAATTACAGACATGAATATTTGATATCCAGCCCTTCTTTTCCACTGTAAAGCATTTCCCACTTCCCATACATTGGAGTAATCCCACAGGGCCTACTTCTCTATTCATTAAAATGTATTCACATAACAGCAGCATATTGCTGACCTACTACCCTCAACAGAGTGTCCATTCAGCTATTTTAAATCATTGGGATAAATAAGATAACTAAGCAAAAGTACTTGGTTGGTAAAAGCAAATAAGTGAAAAAGCCTGGGTCTAGTAGGCAATTGAAATAAAGAAGCTATATTCACCCTCATTTCCCCCATGAGATAATTTTTGTCTTTGTCAAAATTTAACAGAAGGTCAAGTAAAATAAGCAAGGAAGCTACATTGAAGCTATTTGGATATATATTTGAGGCCACATGAGGTCTGATATCTGTCATATAGCACTAGAATCAACTGTTATCCGTGAAAGCTGTAGAATTCCTTATCCTATTTTTGCCTTTGTTTTATGGTTCATCCCTTTGCTTATAAGCTCCCAGAACATTTCCCTTCCCCTTTCTTAATTTCTGGATAGGGCAAACCTAAAAAATTGGTAGGATAGAAGCATGGAAGATCTGTGTGAATAATACATTATTTTGATTGTTTTATTCTTCTGGATTATCTGTTATTATATCCTTCCTCTAATTATCACCAATAATCAAAAATTACATGAATGCCTCATTATTGTGTAGGTCGACACATGTTTAGTCTTTGGGGACTCTCTGGTCCCGGCACTCTTAGTAGCTAAGCTTCTGGAAAAATGACACTTTGTGGACTATTATTTCTTTCTAAGCTGCCCTTGACTCGACAGTCTTTGACAGATTGTCTTTTTCTTCCTTCGCTTTCCCAAACCAGCTTTTACTAAGGTCCTTCCTGACTTTTCAGTCCCTACGTGTTTTGACTATTTTTCAGGTCTTGTTTTACTTAGCCTCTCTGCTGTCCTTGACCTTGTGAATCACTCCCTCTTCTTGAAATACTCTCCTCCTTTGTTTCTCACTCCATTCTGTCCTAGTATTTTCCCCACCTCTGATCCCTCCTTCTTGGTGTCCTTTGCAGCCTTTGTAGTCTCTCTTCAACTTACTCAGTACCTGTTATTGCTTCCTAGGCTTCCACCCGTGACTCCTTTTCCTTCTTCCTCTACACACCTCTGACCCATCTTTTGACAGTTCCAACGCCTCTTCGGTCCACATCTCTCTGTGGCTTTCAGACATGTGTACAACTGCTTATTGGATATCATCACTTGCCTGTGTGTTGGACACCTCAACTCCAGAACCTCCCAAGCTGAACTTCTCACGTTGTCTCTCCTAACCCCCACTGTACCCCTCCTTGGTTTGAACTCTCTTGGTTAACAGTGCAACCATCCTTACAGGTTGCTCAGAACCCTGAATAATTCCTGACTCTTTTTCCCAATCTTGTCTCTTTTAGTCAACTGATAACCTAGTCTTCAGTCTAATTACTTACTAATCTGCCTTCTTAATGTTGTTCAAATCGGTCTTCTCCCCTCCACTCCTATTGTCAGGGCTTTATTCTGGTTTTTCTTTTCTTTTTTTTAAAGATTTTATTTATTTATTTGACAGAGAGAGAGAGAGACAGCGAGAGAGGGAGCACAAGCAGGGGGAGTGGGAGAGGGAGAAGCAGGCTTCCCGCCGAGCAGGGAGCCCGATGCGGGGCTCAATCCCAGGACCCTGGGACCATGACCGGAGCCGAAGGCAGCCGCTTACCGACTGAGCCCCCAGGCGCCCTGCTCTGGTTTCTGTGGAGGTTACCAGCACAGCTCCCAGCTCTTCTTCCCTTCAGCATCGTACCCGGTACGATGTACACTTTCACTTTGACGACAAAGGAATGAAATTCCTAAACCACAAATTGCAAAATACCATTCCCTTGTTTATCAACCTATACTGGGTCTCTGCTGCTTTCATTACAAAAGTCTAAATTCCCAAGCTTGGGTCATATGAATGCCCCCCACCACTTTTTAAAAATCAGGCTTCTGGGGGGAGTTATAAAGGACTGTGATAACAGCTCTCAAAGAGCACCCCCTGCGAGGAATAGGGGAAGTGAAAAGAAACAAGTACTAGTCAAGGGGAGAGATGCGACAAAAAGCTAAGGCCAGAGAGCGAAAGGAACACTGAGAATGCAGGTTACTTCTGGGAGGCTGGGGAGAGGAACGTGCTGGCCCAGACGACGGCCGGCCGAGGAGACTCTTGCAGGTCTATGCACAACTCAAGCCAGTTTTCTAAGAAGTCGTGACCCTGAAGTGCTACAACATTCAAGTCTCAATTCAGAAATAGGACCAGGGAGTTCTTTTGGCAGAGCTGACATCACTGACTTCCCCAGTACAGAAAACTAAACCGTAACTTGGAGAACCTCCCTAGGAGGAGGGGTCACAGTATCTGTATCCCAGATTAGAGGAACAGGGAAGGCCCAGATCATTCACCTTCCTAGTTTCCTTCTCTTCCTGATGACAGCAGTGCTAAAGACTAGAAGATGGTATCCTCAGTTTTCTTACAGTCAGGTCCCAAAAAGTGAAATATGGCAAGTTCCTGACCTGGACAAAGAACCTTTGTAATGAGATTGGAAAACTTTCAACCAGGATGGGCTCCTCCCCAAGAGGCTGAATCGCAGGGAAGCTACCCACGTACCCAATCTATGGAAACCTCTTCTCCTTACCCTAGAACTGGAAAATTTTCAAATCATTCTCTCATTCTTTTATTCAACATATATATTCAGTCTACTATGTGCCAATGCTGTACATTATGGGAGACAGATAAAATGTAGACTTTGCATTAAGATAGGTAAAAAAAAAAAAAAAATCAGGCGTCTGTAAAGAAGTGAACCCTCCTAAGGATATTGAAATAAAAACCCATTAAGAATATTGAAAAAAAAAAGAAGTGAACCCTCCTTTTTCCTGACAGTATTTCTCTCAGTCTACATGTCACCCATACTGAACTCATTCAAGTTCCTTTTTCCTTTAATGAAACATTCTTTTTGTGCCTTTGGACATGCTGCTTTTACCGGGAATATCATTTTCCCCTGCTCCCTTCACCCTAAAGCCTTGCTTCCCCTAACTCCTATTTATCCTTCACATGCCAACCCAGAGTTTCTCTAGGAAGTCTTCCCTGCCCCACCACTCAACCCAACCCAGCTCCTCCCACAGCCATTATCCACACTTCTTCACACATCTGACTTCTCTACTGGACAGAAACTCTTAAAGGGCAGTGACTATGTCTTACTCATCTCGTGGGCTCAGGGCCTTTTAACAGATGCTGATCACTGCCCTTGATAAGTCAATGAATAATTCAGGTGTGGAAGCCAGCCTCCAAAACAGACCGCAATGATCTCGGCCTCCTGCTATTCACACCGGCAGGTAGCATCCTCCCACACTGTACCAGGGTTGGCAGCACCTGTTGGGACTGGATCTACCAAGGGCCTTATGTGGAAAGGAATTTCGTGAAGCCTCTAGCCATCTGCCAACCAGGCACTGAGGTCATGTGAGTAAGCCTGGAGGTGGATTCTCTAGCCTGCGTCAAGTCTTCACCATGGCGGCCCTGAGCAACTGGACTGGACTGCGCCGGGATTAAGCTCTGAAAGGCTCCCAGCCACAAGAGCTAAATGCTCTTAGCAAAACTCTTCGAAGATTTCTGATTCTTAGAAACTGTGTGAGATAATATTTGCTGTTTTAAGCAGTTGTATTTGGGGGGTCATTTGCCACACAGCCCTAGCTAACAAATATACCTGGCAAAATGAAATACGTGCTTTACCATTTCCAGGGCACCTCTGATAATCCCACAGAGTAAATTGCAGTAGCTGAGAGAGGATCTCCCGGCGGGGAGCTCTTCCACAAACTCCACCAGCGGATTCTTGTCTAGGATCAGGGAAAATTCAGTCCTGCTTGAATTGTTACAGGTCACACTTGGTGTAATCCCCAAGTACATCTTAAAGGCAACCTAATAAAGAGGAAAAAAATTCCACTAAAACTTGGTCTAGAACAGATACCTCTTAGCAGAGCACCCAAATATTCTGTTCCCATCAGTGCAGAGCGATGGTTAAGCATGTGGAGTTTGTAGTCGGGGAGTCTGGGTTCATACTCAGCTTTGAAATGTACTGACCCTATGACCTGTATAAGTCTTAAACCCTTTCATTTTTGTGGAATATCCTAAGGGACTAGTTTTCTGTGAAAACAATCTGCTTTATGAAACAGAGTTAAGCATTATTTCTCAAAAAATCGTTTTCAAAAATAAATATTGTTCAGGAGGGTAAGAAATTAAAATATCTGTCATCATTAGGGTTGAAGGTAGGGGTGGGCTTGAGGTCAAAGGCAGAGACACTAATCGAGAGGTTGCTATGATCGCCTGGGAAAGAAACGATGGGGACCCTTCTCATTTTGTCTTTCATTCAAAACTCAAATGTCCCTAACTTTTCCATCTAAATTTAGAATAGCCCAAATCCTAAAATTTGGCTCAAGTCTCTAACACTAGTCAGTTTAAGAGGATGTAAAACGAATCTTTCAGATCTTAAGGCAAAGTAGCCAAAGTAGCAGGTCTTAAGCAGCAAGGGAAAAGCCATCACGAGACTCCCGGCTTGGAGACGTGATTTGGCTCCCAGTGAATTGGCTGAAACCTCTTTCTGCTCATGTTGATTCCTCTGGCTGGAAAATTCCTAGACTATTATTGCTATGATTGAGAACCAAGCAATGTGAAAATAATATAAAATAGAAGCGGTGCACTTTGAATTTTCTCCGATTCTCAGTGTTTTGGCCCCGGTTCCCCGGCACAAAATCCACCAGTAGGAGGCATTATCTGAACATGGTTGGGAAATACTCATTCCTGGGGAATGACATGTTTCCTTATCTGGCTGAATTCAGTCTGAAGAAGGAGGACTGTTGTTTCTAAAGAAGAAAGAGCTCCACCCTCGGCCACTGCCACGGCTGGTCTGCCAATAAATAAGGGCAAAGCCTTTTCCCTTGGTGTCTCTTCAGCATGGATGCTTTTCAGGGGATTTTAAAATTCTTCCTCAACCAGAAAACTGTTATCGGCTACAGCTTCATGGCTCTGCTGACCGTGGGGAGTGAGCGTCTCTTTTCCCTGGTGGCTTTTAAGTGTCCCTGCAGCACCGAGAATGTGGTCTATGGGCTGGTTTTCCTCTTCGCTCCTGCTTGGGTGTTACTGATCCTGGGATTCTTCCTGAACGGCAAGTCTTGGAGGCTCTTCACAGGCTGCTGTGTGAATCCCAGGAAAATCTTCCCCAAAGGCCACAGTTGCCGCTTTTTCTATGTCCTCGGTCAGATCACTCTGAGTTCATTGGTGGCTCCGATGATGTGGCTTTCTGTGGCTCTGCTCAATGGAACTTTTTATGAATGTGCCATGAGCGGGACCAAAAGTTCAAGACTCTTGGGACTGATTTGCAAGGGCAAGCCCCAAGAGTGCTGGGATGAACTTCACAAAGTCTCTTGTGGCAAAACCAGCATGACACCCGCGGACAATGAAGAAGTGAAGCTGTCCCTTCAAGCCCAGTCTCAGGTAAGGAAGGACCAACTCACCTTTCTCTCCCAGGAGGAGCTTGAAGGATTCTTTCGGGTACTCCTCTCAGGCAGGGCTGAGTCTGAATCCTGCTAGGACATTTTGAAACTAAAGGAAAATTGGAACACGATGCAGCATGAAGACAATCTCAGGAAAAGCTTTTTTAGAGGTTGGTGGCTCAGTAAAATTGCTGACAGGATTGTCTTTTCCACTTCCGAAAAGAAAATATCCTCTGGGTTATGCATATGTAAATACTTAAGTGCTTTTAAAATGATCTCTCTGGGTTGACTTGGTGAATAATGCACGACACTAACTCATAATTGAGTGCTAATGGCAGAGCTGTAATTAGAAATTACTGCCTCCTATCAATTATTTATTTTCAAACTGGTTTCTCAGAAAGACACACGCAGATAGCTTTCATCTATTAAAATACAGCTGAACCAAACGAGCGGATGTTTTTCAAAGCGGCACGTAATATAATTAGTGTAGAGATCCCCTCAAATGATCTCTGGCCCCTGTTATCTCTGTGTATAAATATTGTCAAGATTGAGAAAAATTTCCGGGTAAAGTTGGCATCGCCAGTCTTTAAAGAGCCGCTAGTGAAAAGGGACCATATTCTCTAGGGAGGTTACGTCCTCTGCTCTTTGTGCTCTCTACAGCTAAAGAGGTTCTTACATTACTTAAGCAGCTCAAGATTTGGGACATTGTTTTATTTAACAGAAGGAAACTGTAGCTTTACCTAATTGACACAGGGAGGTGGCTTGTCATCCTTCCAGGTACCTGAGCACAAATCCAGATGTGAAACCTAGCCCTGACCTCAGGAAAAAGATTGAATTCCTCCTCCTGAGTCGTAGGGTCACAATCCCCAAACCAAAACAGCTTATCAGAGTAGATAAACAGATCCGCAATTTGTCAGGAATGCCATTGGTTTCCGAAGAAAGGCACTGAAAGGAGGATAATTTTACTTTTTCAACAAGGATTTGCCTTTTCAACAACACATCAGGGCAGTCTGGCTTTAAAATCATACTCCCCCCCCCAAAATAAATAAGTAAAATCATATGCTTTCCAAAGCTGGTTGGAGGTAGAGTCACACCGTGCTTTTTACATAAACTGATAAGCTTAAAAATGCCCCCAGACAAAATCCTTTGTTTAATGCATAAAGGACATCCTAAACGAAAACATGCCAGGATCCCACTGTCTTCCTTCTTTTGTTGAGGAAGGTATTAATTCTGAATGTTATGATACAATGAGTGATTTATGATTTATGTCCTCAGGCACCAGACTCTATTCAGTTGGCGCCATATCCAAACACTTATCTCTTGTGAGCTTTTCTTCTCCAGACACAGGCATAAGGAAATCATGCATATCCTGTCATTGCTTAGCCTGGGCACAACACCTGTTTACTTTCCAGCAGAATGAGAAGGACCTGGGGCTGATTTCTGGGGGAGGATGTGTGCGGGATGTGGACAAGGAGAGCTGTGTCAGTGGCAGGTGCTGACCACAGTGGTTCAGCAGGGCAGGAGCAACAGACAGTCCAGATCAATAGTTGGGTATGTGGGTGGGGGTGGAAAAAGTGCCCCATCCATGGGTGGGGCAAAAAAAACCAAGAAATCCAGCCAGGCGGCTCTCTATTCTTAAGGAAGTCGCATGGACTAGTGGCCAGAGCTTGGTCTTAGAGTTGGCCAGCCTTGGGTTTGAATCCTGATTCTACCACCTACCAGCTCTGTGACCCTGAGCTCATGGTTTGACCCCTCTGAGCCCCTGTTTCCTCATAGTTGGGACTAATAACACCTCCCTTGGGGGGTTGCTGGAAGGCGTAGAGATGATGGACATACATGGGCATACAGGGGCTGACGCACAGTAAGTGTTCTAAGTTAACGAGAAAACTGCCAGGGTTTGGGGTGGGGGAGGAGTCGTGCACAATGGAACATATTGAGGGCTGGGGTGGGAGCATCCACCATGTCTAGTTAGATTCTGGGCACTATGAATTGGGGAAGAACAAGAGGGCTCAGGGCTCAGCACTCAGGTGAGAGCAAGGTGACACTAAGATGCAACATGAGAGGAGGTGTCTGTAGTTGATCAAATAGTGTAACTCAAGCAGAATTGGCTCATGATACTGAGGTGAGAGGGCCTACTGGCCTACAGGAGGCCCGGCTGTGTGGAAAGAGGAAGGTAGGCGATGAAGAGAAGAGGAAGATCTGAAGTAGCCAGCCACAAGTGACTCAAAGTAACTATGAGGGGTTTCACATGATAGGAGCTGTGCCTCATTCACAAATCATGTCAGAAAGATACCATGATTTCAGTAATGCTTTTACATAAACATCTATCCGTTTGAAAAATAGCAGCATGTGATACTAGCTAACACTTCCTGAAGGCATATGTATGTCTACATTGCCTTATTTTAACCCCCCAGATTCCCCTCTGAGGTGGGTAACCCCCATTCTACAATTGAGGAAGTGAGGCACCCATAGGAAATGAGAACACCCATAGGGAGGGGAAGGTTGAGATTTAAAGCCACCTAGTGCCAGTCCAGAGTTGGCATTCATGTGGAGTCCGAGGCCTTCACAATGACACCATAGTCTGAGCCAGAGGGTGGGAAATCCCGGTTTAAAGCATCGGGGCTTGTTTGTAGTTCTGTTATGGTCTGAATGGGTTCATTTGCAGATTATTGCTTCTATTTTCAAATAGGTCCATTTGCTGAGAAATACTAAGAGTCTTTTAATGAAAATGTCAAGAGAAACTGTGAAAGGGCTCTGTTAGTTGCCCAAATAGGAAATTAATTCCAATTGCGACAAATATAATTAAGAACAAGAAAGTTTAGAAGGTCAGTGGAGCTATTTAGAGTTCTGCTTTTAAAATTCAGAAAAAAAAAATGCCAGTTGAACCAGTTTGTACTCAAAAAGGAATTTTTTTTTCTAATTACCAAAATTCAGAACCAATTATCCTGAAAGTTTAGAATGACTCTAAATTTTTTTTTCCTTGGCTTTTCTGCGGCCTTTCAATTTTTCTAGCTTCAGTTTCCCCATTCTATTATTTCTCTCTCACTTAATGATGGATGATGAGTAATGGGATTTTTCTCAGAGAGGGTCCGTTGTTCTCCGCAAACAATGTAACATGGAAAAATCAGTCACTAGCCACGAATATGTATTTATCAATGCCTGAAAACTCCTGGCTGAGAAAAATGTTCATTTGCTCCGATGATCACATTCACTCATGCACGGAATTCTTTCCTTTAATAACTAATACTACTTGAGGGCTTGGTTTACCTGATTCTTGAATAATTTATATTTTTGCTCTTTTCCATTTGTCTGCCTTCTGGTTATTTCTCTGCATACCAGCAATGGTGGGTGGGATGGATGATAGGGATTAGATAAACCCACATTTACTTTGACTGTTAAAAAAGTACTGTTAAAAAATTAACATGGAGG